TTTAAGGTGTGAAGAGCAATCACATCCAAAGGCCAAACTATGTGAAAAAAAAAAAAAAACTATGTAAAAAAGCTCAGTGTTTGCGCTTTTATCTGGAAAGTAATCTTGGTGACTGACTTAGGTTTGCAAAAAGGTTTTGGGTACCCAGGTAAAAGGACATCAATGCAAAACAACCCATCTTTATTCAGCAGGAAAGGGGGTCTGCTTACGGATAGTAGTGCCATCAATCAAAGATGTTACAGCCTGCTGGAACAGCTGTTGTTTTTTTTTTAAAAATCACAGAACCATTAAGTCATTCCAGATAAAAGATAGGATTCAGTGGGGCCTGGTCTGTAAAGACATATTAGTAGTCATTTTAGCTACAGGATATTTTTATAGGGTTCTGTAAGAGAGTTAGGGCCCATCAAAAAAATTTTTTTTCCTCGTCAGTGAGCTCAAAATAGTTATTGTATTCAGGGCCATCTTTTAAGAGGTGTTCCATGTTGAAAATATATCGCTGCTCAGATTTTTTACATTGTCTCCTATGTCTCAGCTCATACCAATGCTGCCAAAGAACAGGCTCATTTTAATGCTTTAGCTTAGGGATTCTCAGGTATACAAGTATACACAAACCATAAGTGATAAAAAAAAAAGAATTTTAAATCAGTTGCTCAGTATACACCTAATCTTATAATTTACTAAAGAAGAAAGCAAATCTGCATGCTAATGACATGAATGTTTATTTTTACACAACAAATTAAATCTTGGCTGAACAGTTGATGCCATAGGACAGAACATCCTCAATACTTTTCCAAGTTGATAGACATTTTGATTTTATAATTTTCAAAGCTGAGAATGCTGCTTTGCATCTAAATATGTACTACAAATGGTGTATGTTTAAGGGACATTTCAGAAATTGTTGGAAATTCTGTCCAAATCCCAAGCCAAAATTCATTTATTTTTAAATAAAACTCAAGACAGAAACTTGTACAGCAATAATTTTTGTTGTATTTTTGGCATGGGGGTATCACATAAGCCTAGGATGATCCTGATCACTGAATCCTCCTCCCTCTACCTCCCAAATACTGAGATTATAAACATGAGCCACCAAGGTAGGCCTCAAGCAGAACTTCAAAATTACACTAATTTGATACTTACACGCTGAAGATGGTGGTAGGAAAATTTTAAGTCTTTGTTTTACATAATTGTTTCTAAAAGAGCAGAAAACTGCATGTGCAGTACAATCGCTGCAATTTGGAACTTACAGCAAGTCTTAAATGTGAACTAAGGTGTTTCAAATGGTGTGCATTTGCATTACGCATTGTGGTATCTTACAGTGTGAAATCTTGCAGTGTGCATGTTGCGTATTCACAACCAAAGCTTCGACGAAGCTTCATGGTGCAACATGGGGGCGCTTACTGCCAGAAATACCTTAGATTTAGATTCAAACACATTTGATATTTGAATCACTGCCAACTTTTTTATGACTCATATTTAGCTATGCAACCCCTCCATAAGGAATTGTGACCAAGTTTAAGAAGCCATGCTTTAGCTGACCAGCTGGTCATTTTTTCCAATTAAAATAAACTCACATAATATCCCTTGTCTTACCTCAATTGATCCAGAGACACTCATCAGAGATCTTGGGCCATTAAATTTTGGGCTAAATACCAATGGCATCCCCATGCTATTGGCCATATCTAAACTTTATAGTCTGCCAATGTAATCTTTGTGTCCTGTTCCACTGCTAGAAGGTTTGCTAACTGGAGATCCCATTTCACGGGAAATAATACTTTGCTTGATTACACACCTAAAAGTGGTTCTTCTACAAGAGGAAAGATCATAAATTACTTCCCAGTAACAAGAATTTAAAATATATATTTTGTGCTAGTTCTAGATCAACCTTATTCCAGAGCTACTGAAAGATTGGTTACTATAGGTTCTGTGATGGCTGATTCCCACAAAATCTGACAAAGCCTGAAAAGTCTGGCCCCCTTGAAGTCCAATACTCAATATTCGAAGTGATTATTTGTCAATCTCTCAGGTTAAGCAGTCGGTAATAATCATGATAGCACTTTCATTAGACAGGCTATAAGCAGTAACGTGAAGGCTAAGACAGGAGATTAGAGCAAGAATTGGGGATGTTAGTGCAGACAAAATAAAGAGGATAAAGACACAAAAATGGAGAACAAGAACCTGGGATTGGGCACAGGGCAAGAAATGTCAAACTATTTGATGGGTTTAAGCATGAAATTACTAAGGACACTGTGATCTGACCATTTCTTTCCTCATTAATTTCCCATTCATGGATTCCATGCCTTTCTCAAACTTCTAACTATAGGAAAGTACATGCAATGCTAGTCTTCTGTTGGACCTACTTTATCCTTGTATGCCTGCTCTGATGTAACTTTGCCCACCAGAAACTCTACCTTAGAATCCCTTTATCACAACTCTGAGCAGAGACTAGTCATAATCATTTGATTTCCTTGTAGGACCTATCATGTGTTTCTATGGATATTTAGTACCTAGGGCACCTTAAATTTAACTAGAAAAGGACCTGTTTCATGAAGTTTTGCCACAAAAGGAAATACAGATCAATCCACATTATATTCCTTGGAGTAAATGCAGACATGTTTTGGTTCATTGATTCTTTAACATGCAATCATTTCATAGAGGCTATTCAGACAATGTTGTAATTTCTATGCTACCAAGTATTCAGTAATGGACAAAACAGTTCTGAGTTGGCTGATAACAGGCATTAAACTCTCTGTTGGCATCATCTAGTAGTTTGTATATTAGGACTTCATACTGCTTATGGGTCAATAACAGATAAAAGATAGTTATGAACAATTCAGTGAATAGACAACAAAGTCAGTGAATTGTATTATTAAAATGGTCTGCATTGACTTTTCCAGGCCATCTCCTACCTGAGGTGAAAGGATCAATTCAATTGTAATATTTAGGGGGCTACACTAACAATTGCTAGACTTACTTTGGGTTGGCTGTACAGATCTATTTATAGGAAATATGCTAATATTAATTATGACCATTGGGAAAGAATGGATCACCATTAATATTTGATTTGGTAAATGAGCTAAGTCTCATTTGCTGCCCATGTCCCCCACTTCTTTCATCATACTGATAGGGCTTACCTTTTTCCCACTCAAGCACAAATATCCTCTTAAAAATCTCTCCTAAATGCCCGGCCTGCAACCCCAGCTACTCATGAGTCTGAGGCAAGAGAATTACAAATCAAAAGCTATATTGGGCTTAAGGCAATTCAAGTCCAAAAAATTTACTGAAGACCCCCATCTCAAAATAAAAAGTAAAATGAGAGCTGGACACAAAGCTCAGTGGTACAGCCACAACTGCTATGTGGATGCTAGGAAACAAACCTTGGGTCCTCTGCCAAGAGCAGCTAGTGCTCTTAACTGCTGAGATGCCTCTCTAGTCCCTACATCATCAGCTCTTAAGGAAGACTTCTAGAAGTTTATATACGTGAACACATTATTTCAGGTATATATGGTACCCAATTCCTCTCTCTCTCTCCTCTCAAGCTTATTTTAGACTGTATTTTCTAGTCAAAAACAATTTATAATTTGCAGGTCTGACATTCAATCCTGAGAATAGAAACCATTCCTGCTGGATTTGTTATACTGAATTTTTTAGGCACTAATCACTGAGTAAACACATTTTTAGTCTGTTTTAGAAAGTTTTAAAATAAGATTTATTTTGTATGTGTATGCTAGCAGGTTGCTCTTGCAGAGAACCTGGGTTTGGTCCTGATACCCACATGGCAGCTAACAACCACCTGTAACTCCAGGTCCAGGCGATCCGACACCCTCTTCTTATCTCCATGAGCACTGCAATATGGGTGTACTTAAATTCATGCAGGCAATACATATAAAATAAAAATAATGATTTAAAATTGAAATGAATTAGATTAATAAAAGGCTGATTTGGCATCTAAGTGATATATATATATGTGCATATATATATATATGAAAATGAATTCTGACTTCATCACCAGTTAAGAAAGATGCAGTATCACTAGTGAATAGTAAAAACCCCACAAATATATGAAACAGAAAGCCCTATCAGGTTATCCAGCTTGACAGACTTTCTTTTTGTTGTTTTGTTTTGAGACAGAGTCTCACTATGTAGCCCTGGTTGGCCTCAAACTCAAAGGGATCCGCCTACCTCTGCCTTCTGAGGGTTGACATTAAAGGTGTGCACTACCACGCCTGATCTAGAACCAACTTTCAATTCTACTCACCTAGAAGGAAGAGTGATGGGCCATAGTATTCAGCATTGCTAATGATGTGTTTCAGAGAGGTAGGCAGAGAACCATCCATCACTAAGAGAAATATGTACAAAGACAATGATCAGTCTGGGAGGAGCAAAAATAATGGGTAGCAGTATGTTACACTGCAGCAAATAAATGTGTATTGAGTCCAATCTAGGGGCCTCTACTTGCCCTCCCATTTTATTATTTATTCTTTGTCCATGCAATAAGCTTTAACAGTGGGTCAAAATAAGAATAAACTTTGAGGTGGGCTAGTAGTAGAATGGAAGTGATCAATCAAAAGCTGGAAAAGGAGCATGTGTAAATTGTTATGAAGCTAAGTAAACACCTCCATGTTTAAAAAAGTGGTATCAACAAAAAGCTATCAAAAATGGCATTGCTTTTTCCTAAGTATGCCTTATAAAAAGGTAAATGTCAGAAGAGTATGAAAAAGACTGAAGAAAGGAATTTTGGAAAAAAGTATCCAGAATCAAATACCATGTCGTATGCCATCTGAGAAAGCAGGGTCTTGAATGGCCTTCTTGAGGAAATTCAACATGGATTTGAGAAGTGCTGCTCGTTGTGGAATACACTGGACTCCTGGCATGGGAGAAAGGGAGAAAAAAAAAATCACACAGGATTCATCAATAAATGACAATGAACAGGCACAAGAAACACTTTTTAAGAGACCCGTCTATATCCACTACAGCAAAACTAGGAGACATTTAAAGTGCGATCTCTGGACATTAGGAAGAGTATTTTGAAAGTAGAAAATTAAATCACCAAGGATGGCACAAGACCAATTATAAAAATTAGAGACCTAAAGTAAAAAAAGAAATATTATAAAGATTCAACTCTGAAATTCATTCAGTTCCTCTTTTGGATATTATCTGTGCTCCAAAATGTCTGTTTTGATAATCAATGTGTGAACTGTCAGATCATAAAATGTTATATAAGACATGTTCATATAAGTTAACCTCCAAATGTACCACTAAGTTCCTCCTAAAGCTCTTTTCTTCACTAATTTAATAAGTCAGTCACTGTGAAAGACTGTGTATCTATGTGTCTACGCACCAGGACGGGGTCCAGGGCCAGGGCCAGGGCCAGGGCCAGGGCCAGGGCCAGGGCCAGGGCCAGGGCCAGGACCCGGGCCAGGACCCGGGCCAGTGCCAGAGATGCTAGTGCTGCTGTTGGAACTTGATGCCCTTAATTCAACATCCAGCCGGTGCTCCATAGATATGGACGAGCCTGGACTGCTTTCCATAGTTATATCTGCAACTAAAGTACAAGTTATGATAAAGAAACTAATTAGAATAAAAAGTACTAAGAAAAGAAAGATTTCTGAGAAAATTTCTTCCACTGAGGTGAGATGAATGATGTAAAACATGCAACTTGCGTATATTACTGGTAGACAGTAAGTAGAGCTTTTTAAAAGGAGGTTAACAGATTTTAAAAGCACTGAAAATTTAATCTCAATGTTCATAGGGAAGGATGCCTATGATACACAGAAGGAACAATGCAAGTGAAACATGTTTATGATCTCATCTTCCTGTTCTAAAATCTATACATGTAAATGTGAACATGGAAAGGACATAACAAGCCTGAAAAAGAGTCGTTGCTATGTAGGTAGGTTAGGAGTGAGCATTCACATTTCCTTTATTCCCCTGGATAAAATAATTGTTAATTAATTAAGCAAAAGACACACAATCATAACCTATAGTGTGTGAAATACAGTAGAATGTTCTTTAGTGATGGCCACTATTTACATTTTGAAAAACTAATTTCAACCATTTTTATACATATATAAACATACATAAACCTACTTACACAAGGGTAAGTACAAAGTCTTTGTAACCAGCTTTATAATGAATATGTGAATTTCTTCAGGAGTACAACAGAATCACTTGGGTTAGTTTTAATCACACACTTTTTCTGGTCTCAAGGTGGCAAACTAACTGAATCAAGCTTTGTAGATGGGGTCTAAATCTTCAACAAACACTTATTGTTCTGTTTTCTCAATTTTGACAACCACTGATTTATAAATGAATAGTGGCCTATTACATACAAGTAGTTAATAAATGTCACATTTTATTCAACCCGCTCGGATCTTACCTGCGAGCTCAAATGTCAGCTTGTTCCCAATAACCCCAAAACAAAACTGAGAAAAGGGGTTTCTAGGGATGGCAACATGCACAGATAAATGTGCCCAAAGACAAAGTCAGAAAAAAGGAAAAGCAACCTATTTTTATTTATAGTCAACAAAAGGGTGTACATATCTTTACCATAAGCACAGTAATAGACACATGCAACGATAATCTGTGTCATTAAGACAAAATTATTTTAAATTTTAAGGAAGTTGATTGAGGCAATAGTTTCTTTTTATTTTAATATTATGAAGTATACAACAGAAAGGGTTGAAGTGTTAAAAAAAATGCACAATGCACTTAAAATTAAAATGATCTGTTTTTTCTATCTTTCTGATTTGAAAATTGATCCTAGCCAGTAAGTTCTTCAACTCTCCTCTCCTTTCTTATGATATCCAAAGTTTTTAAAGGTCTCATTTAAAATGAGTTTAGAGCTTCCATGCATTTACCAAGCATATATTAAACACAGAGGCTATCAGGTACTGCAGCAGTGAAAGTGACAATATCTGGATTCCATGGAGCTCATGCTTTAGTAGTAGGACTAAGATAGTAAGTCAATACATGAAGAAACATGAATTATTAGGTGAGGCAATAAAAAGAAATTTGCAGAGTGATTTTAGTGGTCTACTGCAGCCCTATGATTTGTTTTACCTCCCAGATCTATTCAAAATAATTCATACACCATTTGCATAAAAAGTGTTCAAAATATATACCCAGGGAGCTGTGTACTTCATAGTTTATGAGAAGAATTAAAATTGGAGTAGGCTTCACCGGGTACGGTGGTGCACGCCTTTAGTCCTAGCACTCGGGAGGCAGAGGAAGGCGGATCGCTATGAGTTCAAGGCCAGCCTGGTCTACATAGTGAGCTCAGGTCAGCTGGGACTACAGGGAGACCCTGTCTCAAAAAGACAAAAAAAAAATTGGAGTAGGATAATAGGAAAATCTCATGCACAAAAATACTGACTTAATAGCTTGTTAATTACCATCCATATCAGTTTCCATTTCTTCTCCTTCTTGAGTGGTACTAGGCCTCTGGATCTTTGGTTTGATCACAAATGGACATTCTTTTCGGCACAAATCTACTTCATGCTACAATCAAGGGAAAAACAGTAAGAAAATCCTATACAGTTTGAGGATTAAAAATAATTACAACTGAAGGATAGCAAGCCAATTACAAATTTAGTTTCTAGAAACTAAGAGACAAGATGGTTGCTTAATAATTAGGACAGTTTGTAGACTCAGCTCTCCCTGGGTTTCTACAAAGTCTATGCAAAGAGATCCTTGGATAATAATACCTCAAGTCTATAGATGAAGATAGAAAGACCACTATGGGACTGAAAAGCTGCCATATCCAGGTTGGTGATGAGATCAACCACTCTGACAGCTCTGGTAACAAATGTTATCTGGTCCTGTTCATCGCCAAGAAACTTTATGACCTATTAGGAAGAGAGAGACAAACACAATTACCAAATGATACATAAGCCAGTGCCCAGGGCTCAGCATATAGTGGTGATAATATGCCTGTAATCCTAGCACTTAGGAGGACTGCTGTAAGTTCAAGGACAAGCTGGAGCTACATATAAAGAATATCTGAAAGTACCAACCAAGCAAACAAAAAGACTATTGTAATTACAGTAAGAATTTGTGAAATACTTTTACATACATTTTTCTCAGGGTCAAACCTAATCTCATGCTAGCATGTGGTAATGTCTTGACTACAGGGGCCTGCAGACAGTCACACTGTGCTAGATTCTTTAAAAAAATCTTGTTAATATTGGTAGTAGATGCTTTTTTGTTATTGAGATAAATAAAGTCTTTTAGGGTAAGCTTTCTATATTATCTGCCCCCCACGGTGAAACATTCTAAACCTATACTCTTGTGCTTGATTTATCTGTAAATTAGAAAAAAATGTAGAGTACCTTTAATAAAGCTTCCATCATTCCACAGGAGACCAAAGCTTCACCACCAGCATCATAGCTGGCCAGGTGGTACAAAAAGGAGAAGAGAGCAGTGGCAAACTGGTGAGGGTATGGGTCCATTGAAGGGTCTACAAAGTTAAGAGAAAAGGGTTAGGTTCAGACTTTGGTATTAAGCTGGCAGGCTGTTAAACAATAAAACGATAATGGTTCTCCTCTTGCTGGGATAAATAAGTACCATCAAAACTTACCAATCATGGCCTGGATACAGTTCCGAACAAGTACAGGCAAAAATCCATGGTAAGAGGCTGTTCCAGTACAGTCAATAATACTGCTGAGCTTGGGAGTTCTCTCCAAATGGACAATTGATGTTAATGTTCGTAAAGAAGCAGCTTTAATTTCCTAGAATACAAAGCAAACACAGAATGCTAAATATGATAACAGAAACAAGGTGCTAACACCACAAAATAAAAATTTAAGGAGTTTTTATTCCACAAAATAAACTGTTAACTGCTTGAGAAGATGGGAGACCAGTGGTAAGTAAAATTGAAAATCTGGAATTTATTAATTTCATGGCTTAACATTCAAAGAAGGGTCAAGATTCCCTTTGGAGGTATTTTCTAAGTCCTTGGGAAAAACAAAGATATAGTATGAACTTGATATGCAGACATTATTATTAATACTTACCATAAGCTGCTTATCTGTTATTTGAAGGACATCTACCAACTCTTCTATCAAGCCATTATACAAGATACTGTTTGCAGACTCCTGCAAGGCATTGGAGTAGACTGCAAAGAGAGAAACAAACACTTAGCAAAAAAAAAAAAAAAAAAAAAGAAGCAGTAGTTAAGCCACTATTGGCTAACAAGCTTTGATATTTATGTTAAAGGAAAGAATTCTCTTGCAGTCAGCATTAAAGGCTATAGTCACTAACTTCTTAATACTAGATCAAATATGGTGATAAGCTCTAAGCACCCACATAATTCACAAATTCCCCTATTAAAAACATCAAGTCTTAAGGAAGAATTTTGGGAGACCCAAGTAGGAAAAGAGAAAAAAAGAGATCATTTAAAAAATATTTTATTGGCCCAGCGTGATGGCACACACCTTTAATCCCAGCACTCAAGAGGCAGGCAGAGCTCTGTGAGTATCCAGGCCAGCCTGGTCTGCATGAGTTTCATTCCAGCTGGAGCTACAGGGAGACCCTGTGTATGAGTGTATTGCCTGCATGTAGGTAGGTGCACCGATGTTGTACAATACCCACAGAGGTAAGAGGGTGTTGAAACCCCTGGAACTGGAGTTATGGACAATTGTTAACTTGCCATGTGGGTGCTGGGAATCAAATCTGGGTCCTCTGCAAGAATAGTGAGTGCTCTTAGTTGCTGAGCCATCTCTCTAGTCCCAAGAATTCATTTTTTGTAATATTACTCCCTGATCTAACTATACTTTGCCTTGGATATATAGATTTTTGTTTAGCATCTTCCTTAAACACTTATAATCAGCTGTAAGCCAAGTTATGGACTACTGCAGACTAAGTCAGGAGCTGGTGTGACACTAATAAAATCTGAGTGAGCATGTAACCCATTTTCACTGAATTCCACACTGAGGTAACACTTGAAATACTCTGAAGCAAAAAAAAATGACCGTGATTTGAGCACAATTCATTCAGTTTTCAACAAACATTTCCTGGGTAATCATTAGCATGCCAGAAGTTATATTAGGTACAGAGAATTTCGCAGCCAAATGGTCAGTTTTAAAGAATAGGTAAACATACACTGAATGAAGGTAGATAGTAATAGCATGACTTACCATTTGATACCTTCTAATGCCTGGGCTTTGCTAGGCTGATTTCTAGGTTTTCATTCAAATCCTAGAAAAGCTTATAAATACTGTCCACTGGGAGTAAAGGAAACTGAGGCTGGGAAAACCATGGTTCTGAATTTATGCTTTCCACATAAAGAATAAAGTTATGCCATTTGCACAAAAATGGATAGAATTATATTAAGTGAATTCACAAATACCATGTTTTCTCTCACTTGTGTGTCCTAGACATTAGATATATAAATCCTGCACCAATGACATAAAAGTAGATGCAAAACTGTCTGGGGAGGAGAGGGGAAGAAAATCTGAACAGAGAGTAGGGTCAAGAAGGCTATGAGGCGAATATACATGAAGTACTTGCATGAATATGGCCTTATGAAACTCTGTATAATAAAATGAAAACAAAGCTAAAAAGCCTGTGTGCTTTCCAATCTACTACCCCACAGTAAAACTATACAGTACTATTTAAAGAATTTCCAGACTTCTCAGAACTTGGGAGCCAGGCAGATACCTATGAGTTAAGAGGCCAGTCTGGTTTACATAGCTAGTTCTAGGCCAGCTAGAGAGCTACACACTGAGACCCTGTCTCAAAGCCCCCTTCTCCCCAAGTGTATACACACACACACACACACACACACACACACACACACACACCTCTGAAAGGATGAGAAACCCGGAAGAGTAGAAATAGTAAAGAGGATGGGTAGGGACCAGGTGAAAATGACAAGTATACTAACTAAAAAAAGACAAATGATCAAGTCTACGTCACATGACAATAAAGGTACATTAGGGAGCCCAAGAATGATAAATGACCACAGTGAACACTAGAAATATGGATAATTTTATAGTTTAGGTTGCCATAATAAAGTCTGATATGACAGCAAACAAAGAGAGATGAAATTCTTAATAAAACAAGTTCGGTAGCCAGGCGTGGTAGTGCACGCCTTTAATCCCAGCACTCGGGAGGCAGAGGCAGGCAGATCTGTGAGTTCAAGGCCAGCCTGGTCTACATAGTGAGTTCCAGGACAGCTGGGACTACAGGGAGACCCTGTCTCAAAAAGACCAATAAGTAAATAAAAAAAAATGTTCAAACTGCTTGATTAGGACCTGTTAATTAATGTTCTTCTCTTACCTAATATAGATATTGCATGCAGTCTGGCCTGAACAGCTTGTAATCGCTTCCTGTGATTAGAAAAGCCATGGGCCAGCCGTATATGTGTAAATAACAGCATCTGTAGAGATATAAGACCTGTATTAGAAAATCATTAGAAAACCCATTTTTTCTGGAGTGGTTTACTGTTGGTATTTGCTAGGATATCAAAACTGAACTAGTATCACCTACCCTGAGATTAGCTAATAAAACCAGTGTGACAATACAGGGACTCCTACTATCTAATATTTCAAGGTAGGTTAAGAACTGTCACTACACTGATAGGCCAAAAAGGTACATTTAATCGAAACATAATAGGTACAATTGCTAATAAATTACTTGATCACTGTACAGATGGGCATAACAAGCTAACATAATTTCTCCTAACTGCATCCAAAATGTTTAGAAAGCTACTACTACTTACTAGATACAGTGAATAATCAGCCAGTTTCTATTTTTCCAAACTCTACTATGGATGTAGGAAGTTAGTAAGTTCTGGCTTTGGAAGAGGAAACAAACACTTAGGAAGACTAATTTCCTATGGCCTGACTCAAAGATGACATGTTTTTTGCTGTGCATTCTGCTTGTCCAGCACATATCACTGGTATATTTGGAAGGCTACCCCCACTATGGATATTTTTCAGACATACTATACCTGCTTATCCTTAGGAATGCTGTACATTTTGGTAAGGGATTCCATTATTTCAGAAGGGCTTTCTGAAATCTGTATTAGAAAAAAAACAGTCACAAACAAAGCTTAGAAAAAAATTAACTAATTAGTCGTTTGTCAAAGACTCCTCTTACCTTGTCAAGTTGTTCTATGTGAATATAATGTAGTGTATTACTAGTTGTCTGAAATAAAAGTTAGAAGAGCTGTTAGATGTCACTGAATACCCTGTAAGAGTCATCTGAAAACAAAGGTATCATCCTAGGTTTAAGGCAAAGTAAATGCTCTTAAAAAAATCTAGTTAAGTACAGAAAGCATTTATAGATTGGATAGTCAATAGAAAGTTTCTTTAAAACTACTAGTATTAGCCAGGCGTGGTGGCGCACACCTGTAGTCCCAGCACTTGGGAGGCAGAAGCAGGTGGATCTTTGTGAGTTCAAGGCCAGCCTGGTCTACATAGTGAGTTCCAGGACAGCTGGAGCTTACAGGGAGACCCTGCTTCAAAAAGACCAAAAAAAAAAAAAAAAAAAAAACCAAAACCCCAACAACAACAACAAAAAACCACTACTAGTATTAAACCATACTGCTAATTTAATAGCCAGTAGCCAGGCATAGTTCACATTTTTTTTCTTTTTTAACCAATAATCTCCACAATCTTAGCATTCACACCAAAACCCAAATCCACGAGGATGTTCTTTCTTTCAATGTCTTCCTGTTGTTTTCAAGGTAACTTCAATCTAAAAGATTATTATTTAATAATAAAAATGGAAGATTTGAATTATTAGGACTATTTCTAAACCAAACTGAATTTTAGCACCTGGTTCAGGAATATGAATGATCACATAATTTAAGCACGATTTTACATACAACAGAGCCTTCTTACAGGCTGGGTGAAGTACAGAAATTTGAACCATGACTCTCTAAGACCATTATATTATAGGACAGCATTCCTTACTAAGATTGTTAGAAAAAAACATAAAACATGGTAGTGTCCAATTAAAGGGTTTTGGCAGGTTCTAATATCCTGTTAGAGGTAGGCATATAATTAATATTTATTCCTAAAACGCTTCTAGGTACATCTAGCTTGGTAGGACAACAGCATTGTTGCTCAAACATTCCCTCATTTGAAACTGAGGAGTCTATTAAAAAAAACGTATCCTGTAGCTTCTTTCAGTACAGTCTAAATAAGACTTACCCTTTTCTCAATTTTGACCTCGGCTCCAGGGTCTGCATAGAATTCAAAGTGTAGTGTGGTTGCACTGGGTGGGTATTTCTGTGTATAAAACACCAAGAATTAGACACCGAGCTTCAACTGGATTTTAGACAACACAGATGTTATAATCCAAGTACTTCCTCAAAGTCTTAACCATTTATTCAAATCATCATGGCAGCAGCATACTCAACATCAATGGTGTCTTTAATTCACCTTGGCTCAAGACTCCAATGAAACTTCTTTGAAACAGAAGAGTTTCAAAGATCTCCATGCTTTTATTTCTAAGCTACCAATTGCCATTTCTTCCAACATATCAATTTTGACTGTAGCTACTGTCATGGAGGGGTTAAGTCTGCCTAGCATCAATGCCTAAGAATCCAAGGAACTATAAAGAATAAACAACAAGGTCAAGGTCTAGGCACCAGCTAAAGAAAGAAAAGGGCACTCTTATGGAAACCTTATTATCTCCTTCAGAAATATTTTAAAGTATGCCTTATAGGAGCACACTTTCATATTACTCCAAATACGCCATTCTACCAACAGTTCATGCTTTTTTGCATAGGTATACACCAAATCAAATAAATAAACTAGACCCTGAAAGTGTATCTGTAACTCTAGAAAAGCAACACAATAGATTAAACAAAGATAATTACCTACCCATTAAAATGTTCTCTTCAAAGAAACCACTAGCTGTGGTTGTTTCTGACACTGAGGTGACTACTATACACCCTTTTAAACTCTAAACTAACATGTACATGTACCGTTTTGGGTTTAAATTTTTCTAAGTTTCATGACATGCTAAATTTCAATAAACCTAAACACACATACTTAACATACACAAGGACTAAAACAGGTAATAGACATATATAAGCCTAGTACATTAACATGCATAGGTTCAGAATTAATTCCACTCTAACAGAGAACATTTGCTTCCCATATTACCAATATCCATTCATAAAACTCTCTAAACAATTTATACCAACTAAGGTAGGAAAAATAACCTGCTCTAATTTGTGTATTTCTATGATTAGAAATAGAGCCATACTACTGGGGGATAAAAGGCTCAATAAATTTGCTAAATTTGATTACAGCCACTTGTGCTAAACATGACAAACTAGGCTCCAAATGTGCAACATTGCAAAGCATGAGAAAGGATGGCCTAAATTCATATCATGAACATGGGTGAAAGAAAGGGAAAAACATACTAAATGGTATTTTCTAAATAATCCAAACAGAACTATGTTCAAGCAGCTAGTTTTGAATACTGCTGAGAGTTGTGATAGTTGCCGTGCCACTTGTGCTAAACATGACAAACTAGGCTCCAAATGTGCAACATTGCAAAGCATGAGAAAGGATGGCCTAAATTCATATCATGAACATGGGTGAAAGAAAGGGAAAAACATACTAAATGGTATTTTCTAAATAATCCAAACAGAACTATGTTCAAGCAGCTAGTTTTGAATACTGCTGAGAGTTGTGATAGTTGCCGTGTGAGAATGCAAGCAAATGTACTGTTTTTTTTTTTTTTTGGGGGGGGGGGCCCTTTTTTGGACAGGGGGCCCCTGTGCCCCTACTTGGCCTGGACACACCCTTCACGA